TTTCCTCCTAAATCGATTTACGCTCGTTCCTTCATGCTAAATCATACAGTTATTATTACTACAGTCCAAATCTGTATTGCTATCCACTTGAATTTCTGCAGCCACTCCTTGGCACTCCGTCTTGGTCTTCTTTAGCTGACTCATCTCTCAGATCCACTCACAGTAGAGTACCTATTATGGATAATCTGTCAATTTAACTCCACTGGGACTTTGCACTTCTCAGACACCAACACTGATTGTTATCTTATGCATATACCCAGGCTCCCTTGTTTAAATTTCAATCCTTTTAACCTAAACCTAAACCTTAGCCACAAAGGATGCTATTTTCTCCACTGCATGACAAAACATCAGACTTCTTGTCCTCTTCATGTCAAATTATGTATGCTTCTGGAATTCTCTCATAGATTTCTTATGTAAAGGGGCTTTCCTTCTCCACACATATCCAATCTCTACAAATATTGAGGCTGACCAGCTTCTTCTGGGAGTATACCTTCATACCAGCTTTTCATGCTGGTCTTTCAGGTCCTTGAATCTTTCATCAGAAACTTAATACTATTTTTTTTTTTTTAGATATGATGGATTTGTCTTTTCTATTAGATGCAAAAAAAGGATATAGGGTAGAAAACTGATATCAAAATTCTTTTGTTAAGTTGGCTGGTTTTCTTACTTTATTTTTTAATGAACCCTGTACCTATAGTGGGGCTACATCCTATACTTGGCTATTGATTTATTAATGATTAAATACCCTCATGTTTTCTGGTATTGATGTTCCATGACTATGTCTTGAAAAAAATATTTACATAAAATTTTACTTAAAAAAGGCTTTCAATTATTTAACCAAAAAAAAAAAAACCTATTTATATCACTTTTCCACTTTCACTTAAATAACAAAGACTTTTAAGGGTTTTTTAAAAAATTCTGTTACTATTTTCTTCCTATTATTTCTTTCAATAGTGATATAAAAGCATGTAGGGTAATGTGAAGATAACTAGATAGTATTATCTAACAAATTCCCTCAGTTTCTTTCTAAGTAGATTATTATAGATGCTTTTCCTAGAAATCAAGACAATGTGGAGAGCCTGCTTCAAATCCTGATTCTTGCGATCAGATCAGAAAGATTTCAGACATGTGTCTCAGAGCAACATGAATGAGTTTATGGAAGGGATAGGAAATGGGAAATAGGACATTTTCAAGGAAGAGCATGGGAACTTTCAGGACAGTATGCCTCTCCTGCACTCCAGTTTTTGTTTTTGTTTGGTACTGGGGATTGAACTCAGGGCACTCAACCACTAAGCCAATCCCCAGCCCTATTTTGTATTTTATTTAAAGACAGGATTTCACTGGGTTGCTTAGTGTCTTGCTTTTTGCTGAGGCTCGCTTTGAACTTGTGAGCCTCCTGCCACAGCCTCCTGAGCCACTGGGATTACAGGTATGTGCTACTGTGCCTACCTGTGCTCCACTTTTATTGGGATCTGAGAGAAATTTCTAGAGAGTCCCCCCTAGGTCTACCTCTTAACTTTTGACTGCCAGAAAGATGACACCAGACTTTAAAGCCCCAACTGTCTTGGCAACTCTAGGTCACCTTGGCTCGTGTTTATTAGTTCCAACTGGATTCTTAACCATACATTTTTATAGATTTTATGGTTAGAAGGAGCTATTCTTATCTACCAGAGTTTCAGGATCTGGTTACCAAAAAGTCTTCCTCTTCAGGTTAACTTGGTTTCATCAACTTTGTTATTTTGGGGCTCCATTTCTTCTTCAGATAGAAGGTAGTTTTCTGAGAAATCTGATATACCCTGTCCACTTAGGCCAGGCAGGACTGCAGGTAAATTGCTTCTTAAAAAAGAAAGCATGTGGGAGTCAGCACAGTGGGGCTGATTTTATACAATTATTCTCTTAACCTGGTCCCCACTATCCTCAACTGTCTGTACCCTAACAGATAAGAAACTTAAAAGTTCCATAAATCTACAGTGCAGATTTTAAAAATAAATTTTACCTTACAGAATGTGAACTATTAAGGGAATGTTTATTAAATGTTTTACAAACATATTTTATTATCCTACAATAGATGAGATACCAAAACTTGTTCAGAATTCGTTATGTATACCTTGCCCCATGCTAACCTGAGGGACCTGCAAATAAAATTTTTAGTGAACTCGATTGCTCCATTAAATTTAAAGTGTGGATATCCCACATAGGATTGATAAAAGACATTTCTGACGTTTCATATGAATTTTCTTTTGAAACCAAAATAACCATTCTCTTCTGTGAGCCAACAAATGGCAGTCAAGCATTTTATTGACAACAAGACCCTCATAAGGTAGTGTAATTGACATGCTAATTGACTCATCGAAGGCCTTAGGTTGGCACTGAAATAAGACCTGCCACTATGACATAGGATATGCTTGTTAGTTTGATAAAAGTCAAATCTTTTTTGCATTATGGAAAGGAAGAACTACATCTTTATTTCTTTATAGACATAGAGAGGTGCTGTAAAGTAGGGATCCGTGTTTCTACATAACTTCATATAAATAGTTTTTAGGCAGAAATGCCATTATAAGGTTACTGTAAAATAAGTCCCAGTTTTAGGAATGTGAAATATTTCTGAAACAACTTCAATTTTTGGTTTTTGAAGGGCAGAGTTAACCATGGGTCCATAACTGTTTTCTCCTCCTTTTTCCCCCCCTAACCAATCTCCTTATAAATATTTGACTGATGGATTTACTTGAATGAAAATAAGTGAGAATCCTGCAGGGGTTGCTAGGTACTGATTGCTGAACTTGGGAATGTGGCATGCAGGATATCTTTCTGCAAAATATTTTATTGTAAATCTTCCTGCAATCTATGGATCTCTGGGCTGCAGCCACACTGGACATTGGTTAATCATGCAGCCAATACAGGCAGATGGGAATAGGAAAATATAAAAATTGAGACATCCTTATACTCATCCTTCTAAGAGCAAAACAAGTTCTAGTACACACACACAGAGACACACACACACACACACACACACACACACAGAGAGAGAGAGAGAGAGAGAGAGAGAGAGAGAGAAACTATGTCTGATGAATTTGGTTTTCCTGGATGTTATGACTTGTGCCCTGTGTATTATTTGTTAATTCTTTATAAAGATTGTATATGAGGATGTGAAAATTTGGGCCTCTGTGTTCATGCAATTTGTATAGGTTTTACTTTACAAACATTAGATCATTATAATAGTTCTGTGAAGTGGGCAGCACTTGTGTTATTAGCTACATCTTAGAAAGGATCTTATACTGTGGTGATAATAGTAGCTATAAGAAATCTAGAGCAGTAGTAGCCACTATATCTCTGTTATAAGAACAAGGCCTTTAATTAACTCATATGTTTTGCAATTATCCAGCATGCAGGTTAATATGAAATCAATAAAACCCAAGCTTCAGTATAATTCTCATGCTTGAGCACCATTTAAGACATTGAAAAGCCTCCTAAAAATAAGCTCAAATGATCATATAATTGTTAACATTTGCCAATGTCAAATACTTTGACCATGATCGATTAAGAACATTGCCTCTTTACTCCAACTTCTCTTTGCTAACCTGCCTTATATTGGATAGTGTGGAAGGAAATAGTGAGGAGGTAATTCAAAAAGGAATTTGTTTATTTGAGGTTCATGTAATATGTGGGGTATAATAATTTGGCTTGCAGTTAATTTTATGTATAAGCAATGCCTGCAATCCTAGTGTAGGAATAATTTTCTAGAGTAATCATCATATGTCATGATATCCAAAATGATATGAAGGCAAAATTTGTGCCATGGCTTGCATGCGTTTTGGTATACAAAAGATGAATTTAATTGTCAGCAGAGGCAAGACAAACTTTAAAATGTATAGAATTAGAATCTGGTCTGGTTAACTTTCATGAGATTTATAGTGCATATATGAAAGAAAGAGCTTTACATAAATCTTGAAATGATCTTTTATAACACTTCCCAATAACAAGATGTGAAACTAAAATATTGCAAAGCTATTACTAATAAAATTATTTTGGTCTAACATGTTAGACAAACTTATTTTAGAAATTAAATTATAAAATTCTCCTGTGAAGAGGCAAAGAGATTGCAGCCAAAAATATAAGATACAGTTACCACATCAGTAGATCAGAAAGCTAATAATGTTGTTTTCCCAATATTGTTTGTTATGGGTCATTTTTAAAAGATTATAGTTTGTTGTAATATTGGTTCATTCATGTCTATATTTTGTATTTTTAATATTTTTCTTAAATTTACACCAAATTTTATATGAATCAGGTCCATGACCTATCTCTGCCTGTAAGGTTAATATTATTCTCTGTATTTTTCACATGAATAACTTAAGCAGGCTAAGCTACTACTAAAATGTCATCTAATGTGCTTTTCTATTCAACTGAACTTTCTTTTGTCCAGATTAAATCAATCATAGGGGAGAGAAAGAAAATCTGATGTTATGCAGAGGATCAGATCCATACATAAAAAGAATAGAAAAGCATAAAACATTCAGTTATCTATTCATTCTCTGTTGGTACCAAACTTTAGGCTCTTTTGCTTAAATAGACAAATAAGAATGCATCTCTGATACAAGTTAATCTGCAAAATATTCTATTGTTGCTATGCTTTCAGTGTTTGGTGTATAGGCTCCTCCTACAAAAATAAATAATTTATGTATGAATTAGAGACTATTTCAAATTAAATGTTTGGGAGGCATTTATAATGCTGAATGAAAAGGCATTTTTGAGGCTTTGTAAAATGTTTAATTATAAGAAAAAAGTTTGAAATTTTAAGTACAATCTATCTTGAGTGTAGTATTAAAGTATTTTGTGTAGTGTTTAGTATTTTACAATACTTAAATCACTTGTCTCTGAAGGTTAATATGCTTATTCAAAAGTGCAAAATTATTCTAATCTGGATGGTCAAGAAAGAGAACGAAAAGCCTGTTCTACAAACCAGAATAATTTGGAACCTATTTAAAAAAGAGAATGACCAATCCAGGTAGACAAGACTTGAGTTTATTTATGCGATTCAAAACTCCCTTCTTGAAAGGACATTTACAAACTTAATTTCAAAAATAAAATAAATTCTGAATGACAAATGTTCACGTTTTAATTTCAATATTACAGGTATGTTCTTTCATGATAAATTATCAGTTGAAAATGTTCCAGTGGAATCTGGTATCAATTAATTTTACACTTCATATAAGAAATAATAAAACATTTATTTTCAAGTCTTACATATATTACTTAAAAATAGATACAAAGTTCAGTTTGTAATTTTTAAAATTTTATTGCTGTTTCAAGCTACCTGAAAGAAAATACCTTAGTGAAAATTATGTTCCAATTGTCTTGAGTAAGTATGGCTTAAAACAGTCCACCAATGTATTATTTAGCTATCAAGTTGGTCAAATGATGGATGATGTCTTGAAAGTTAAGAAATGGTATCAGTTGGGCAGGTAAAATAATATTTGATACTTTTATAATATGCAACTTGGAGTTAAATTCAAGAAGTTGACTGATTAAAAATCTAACATTGCACAAATTCATAAATAATTGCTTAGTTTCCATCTTTAAACCTGCTTTTTTGAAGCACACCGAAACAATGAGATAGAGAAAAAAATGTACATAAGATTGTTTGCTTGATGGAGGCATCAATTTGTTAAAATATTTCTCATACATATTTCCCTGTTCAAAAATATAAACTTGCTTGTTTTCCATATATACAAGTATCCTGTGAAATCCTGGATTCTGAGAAGAAATAGTTTGAGGTATAGCATTGAGTAAAACATCCAAATGCATGATATTTTTGGCTGAAATTCATTAAAGTTACTGTCAGCAGAGAGTTGATTGGAGTGTGCTCCCAAAAGTCTTCCAGGTTTTGCCCTCTGAGAAATTTGTCAGCGACATCAAATAATTGAACTCTTCAACATCAATATATACAAAGGCATTTTATTATTAATCAAAGAAAGGGAAATAGAGACATCAGAAACTGCAACTTTATTTTTTGTAATACATATATTTATTGCCATCATAGTTCCGCAATTGTCATAAAATTAGAGTCAGATGGGATTCTGAGACACGTGCAAGTTTTGGAAATGGACATATAGATAACAGTATGGAACTGTACATAAAATAATTACAATTTATTAAACACATTGTTTTAGCATATCCTTGATGGACTGGAATGAGCACCATATTTTTTTATGAATATATATTTTTCTGTCTTTTTTTTTTTCTACAGCACCAAAGAAATCCAAATAGGAAAAGGAGAGATGAGGGTCGAGAATTAAGAATCAGCCCTGTTTCCATCTCAGCCACACTACCTTATTTCTTTATGATTTTCAAAGCTCTTTTCACATGATTCTGCCCCCTCAAGGGCATCAGTATTTCCTAAATGGTACAAGTATACGTAGCAATTTGTACTCTATACCATCCTTATTCAAAACTTGCATGTGGCATGAAATGGATTGCTGGCACCAAGGTATATTTTCTGTTGGTTTCATAGGTTCTTCATCTTAATCTTAGCCAAGAAAGCAAACTGGACCAACTTCAAATCCAAATTTTTGATTCTGATCACCAAAGTCATTGATCATTACATCAATGATAGGTACTTGATCGATTTTCGGTGTGTTGATTTCAATTACAGTCTTTTCATAGCCTTTTCTGGACTGTAAAATTAAGCATAAATTAAAAATTACATGATAATTTAATATTGCTAAAACACATGTTATTTTCCTAAGCTTCTGATAGGAAGCTAGAAGATAAGAAAGAAGAGAATAAATCCCAAATTTGCCAATAATTATGTGATAACTTTTTGCTATTATGAGTGGAGAATCACACTCAGTTTTAAATTTTGAATATTAACAATAATGCTTAATATTTAATTGTAGTTGGGACTGGGGATGTGGCTCAAGCGGTAGCGCGCTTGCCTGGCATGTGTGCGGCCCGGGTTCGATCCTCAGCACCACATACAAACAAAGATGTTGTGTCCGCCACTAACTAACTAACTAAATAAATATTAAAATTAAAAAAAAATACCTTTAAAAAAATATTTAATTGTAGTAACTCAAATATGATCATCCAACATACTGCACATTTAAAACTAATTAAGTTGATAAATAAAACTTAATATAAAAATTGATGCTGGTACTAGATCCCAAAATATAAGTAATACATCCTTATTATTTTAGTTATAATTAAAATATAGATTGTCAAATTCTCTTGTCAAATACAGTATAAAATCATAACAAAAGTTGAAACATTTCTACTGCCATATGTTAATTTTTATAAATATTAATAATATACTACTATTTAGAATGCTTTCCAGGACTTCTGCATCTATAACCTGCTTTGTGTTCTCTTTCTTGTTCTACTTGTACCCCACTCATTCTGTTGAAAGCATGGACTCTCTTATTTTGCAATTGTGTTATCTCTTCAGTCATCAACACTTAGCCAAAGCAAATTGCTATTATATGGAATTCCCATGTGCATGAACACTGGTTCCAGAAGATAAAGATAACAAAAATGATAGTAGTTTCCTAAGTTGCTGTTAACACAGTGACAATTAAAAAGCACCTATCCAAGATTACCTTCTGTTATGTCTTCAAAAATGTGTCTTTGTGTATTTCAGAGTGTCTGCATGTGTGCATATCTGTGTATGAACATTTTGAAAACTCTATATCTTAATATGTCATTGTAAAGCATCAAATCTTATTAATAACTGACAGCAATTGAGAGAAATCTGGCGTAGAATTAAAGTGAGGCTGTTAGAGGCTGCCTCTCATCTGTGAAGAAGACAAGCAGAGATTTCACTCACCGCACAGCCATCATGCAGTGCTTTGATGTAAGGGTTGTTATCATAGGACATCTCCTCATCATTTGATCCCAGGAACCGAAGTGCTTTGTCATAACTTCCTGATGACACATCATACCAGGCAGCTGACTGATGACAGTTATAGGTGAAATTTTGCCGAGCAGAGGCAGTGAGAAGTTTCAGGAATGTCATTTGCACCATGTTAATGGTATTGCCTTCAACATCTAAATATGAAAGCTGGGAATAAAAGAATAAAAAGACACATAAAGACTCTTTATGCTATGAAAAAATAAATCACTGTTGACAGTGAACTTGATGCTGGAAGGATGTAGATGAATCAACAGCCCTTTTGTAACCCCACTGAGAAAAAGTGTGAATTGAGGGTTACAAGACCCAGAGACAGGATTTTATGAACTTAGGTCTCTATCTCCAACTCACTTACTCTAACCACTGCTTATCTTTGACAAAAATCACAATGTCTATTGTTTCCTAATCAGTAAATACTGCCAGAAAAAAAAATGATTCTACTTTGAGGAAATACTTCACTATATTTCATATCTTTTTTTTTTAAATTGTAAAATAATGAAACAATGAAAACCAAGGAATCTCAGTGTGATGCAAAGGTTAACTGCTTTTGTTCTTTGATCATGCTCCTGTACTTTTTTTTGGGGGGGGCCATAGTCTTCCAAGGTGTTTTGGTCTTATAATTTTCAAAGCAGAGTTTCAGTCCATTCTCAGATTTTATATATATGTGTTTTTTTTCACTGTTTTATCACCAGCACCCAGCTTAATGGCAGAGACAATAGGAGTTAATAATTGTTGAGTCAATACTTATTTTGTATTTATAGCAGGAAAATAGTTTTAAATGTAAATTATTAAGACTTGTCTTATGTCATCTTCACAAAATTTTTGTTGGGCATAATGAAGATCACTTAGCATAAGAGAAATGTATAAACCTAAATTAAAAAAACATTACAAATTCACTGTGATTTATACATGAAGGCAAAACAAAAGCACTGATCTGACTTTTCTTCTTCTAAAAACTTTATCTATTCCTTACTGATTAACAGAGAGATATTGAGGAGCCTCCTGAGTTTAGGGGAAAAATTTACTTTGGCAATGAACTCTAAGGAAAATAAAACTTCACAAAACAAACACACAGGGTTGTACTTGTGTATATTTTACACTCATACACAAATAAAAATGTAGCTTGGAAACATAATATCTAACCTGAATAGTAAACTAGGAAATTATAAGTCATTAATATGTATGTTTATATAGTAATGATAAATGTACAAATTTTCATCAGTGAAAAATAATAGCATTTAAAAAAATATTAATTGATTGAATAATTATTTGGATAAGTGGGAAACACTTAAATTTGGTTAACTCCTAATTAAAGTAATTTAAACACATATTTTAAATAGCTTTTAATATGAATTTAGTCTAACATACAATCGTAAAATATCTTTACAAAATTTTTAAGGGAAACTGGTAATTGTATGGAAATATGTAAATTTGGCCTAAAAAAAAAAAAAAAAGGAAGGTTGGTCAACAAAATCCCAAAAGGAAAAAACAAAAAAAAATAATTGTACATGCTACAAGTTCTTCATGAAATGAAAACCAATGAATAAACTAGGGATCAAGAAAATAGGAAATAAAATAGTGACAGTCAAAGATATTAAATGGATATTAAATACTTTTGCTGATAATTTTAGCAAAATTAATTTTATGATGACTTTGTCTAGAACTTGAAATTTAGTACTTCCATCTATTTTGATACAAAAACAAATTAAATTGCTTTAGGATATCATAGTAGTCTAAGAGATGCTAGGTGGAGCAAATTGGAGAACACATGGGCTATATAATTTGAGCTCGGCTTATGGAATTTGAAATAAACCATTTCATGCTGAGGTAATAACATACCAATTTTCCTCTCTTAAATTCACTAAACCAACTTCCTGGTTTCTCCTTTGGCCATGATGAAAGTCTTACCTATTGTAAAGGAACAGGAAAATTAAAAGTTAGGTTAATATTATAAATGATAATTTTTTTTGTCTACATGGGTAAATTTTAGTAAGATTAAGAAGCTAAAGAGCTTTTGAAATATACATAAAATGAGATTAAGAGCCACATTTGAGATAGATCTTATGAACTGCATGTAATAAATATTGAATCATTTTCTTCATGATCTCCTCAGTGGTTTAAAAATAAATGGGGAGAGATAACTTGGTAAAGGCAGACTAACAGCTGTAGGGGACATCATTAGAACTCTCAGGTAATCTCTCACAAAAGAAATCTTCCAGATGCCAGCCAGCATCAACCCAAAAAGAAAAGGAAGCATTCTGAAAACATTTCTCCAGTAACTAAGGCTGAGATGTCCCAGAAAAGTCATTGGTAGAAAGTAAGACTAATCATTTCTTCTGGGAATATAAAGAATCCCTTATAGATTTGCATTTATTATTAAGCAAAGAATCAGTAAATTATGAGTTTATAAGGCTTTATCTTAGGAAATCTGAATAATCAGTGTGAGGGGCAGCATTTTTCTTTGCCAGGGATTATTTTGGGGGCTGGAGGAGATGTATTATGCCTTGCCATGTGATAAGTTGGGTTGGAAGATGGAAGTTGCTTTGTCTCCTGACCCTACTATATCATTCTGATGTTACCAACTTAAATATTCTCCTAAAAAGAGCAATAACACATAAAAAATTATTTGCTTTGTCTTATGGAGTTCCTTTACCTCTATGAGCCTGTGCCATTTTCTAAAGAAATTGTTTGGAAAATGCACTTATGCTAATGAAAATCTCTGATTCTGTTAATGATCTGCATGTAGCTTTAAAGATATAACTCAAGCATATTGATACCATTAGGTGAAAAGTATGGAGTGTGTGTGAAGGGACTAAACATCTAACACATGTAAGTGTACAGAATGCTCTTATTTTATGTAAAAGAAAAATTCTTTATAAAATTTTGCATTTTGAGTATAATACGCAGCTGTGAGTGTTACCATGTGATAATTGGGCAGAAGAATACTATAGATGTACTAAAATTTGAGATTCAGCTGTGATGTGTCATGGAAAAACCATAGAATTTTAGAGAGCAAGCAGGTGCCTAAAGAATACATCTGGGCAAAAAATAAAGGAAACAAGTATTTGTTAACTCTATGCATCACTTGGGTGCCTTATTCATGTTTATGCAAATGAAATGCTCTAATTACCCTGTAAGAAAAGCAGATAAATGAAAATATGACAGTATAATTTTCCTGTTTAGTTCAATATTGCAAAAACATGGCAGGAACTGTCAACATTCGCCACCAAAACAGATTGGTACTTACTCCCTCGGATTTTTTGTCTGGATAAAGGCAAGTCTCACCGCCAGATGTGAAATTACAATAAACTTTGAAGGAATCTCCTGAGCAACCTTGGTTAGGATCAATCCAATATTCACCTAGAAAGTAGGAAAAAGCAGGTCATACCCAAGTTCATTAACAATAATATCAAATGCATGAGAATCTAATTTTATTAAAAAGAGAAATAAGGAAAGTCAATATTCATAGATCTCGTTACTTTTATGCTTTTAGGCAAATTAGGGTATATATTTGATTAGCTGGAGTGACCTTTCCTTTTTTGCCTCAACTCTTTGTAAAGGAACAATATCTGAAATATTTTTTTTTTTTGTTCTTGTCATACCGACCACTTTTAGGTATTAATCTGTTATCTCTTCAAATAATAACATCCTGTGAATCCATGTGTAATAAATTACATGTATAATGGAATCAGATCTAGTTGAACCCAAATCTACTATATAGTACTTTATTTTAGAAATATGAGTGTAATAATCCATTTTGACCTAATTTATTCATCTGTAACAATGGAGTACCTATTTAGCCACAGAAATCATACCTTCACATTATTTTACACAACAACTTCTTGTAGTAAATGTTGATCCTAAGAAGGAGAACTGAATTATATATTTAAATGTGACCTGCTATTAATGCCATTAATGCAATGTGGTCAAACAAATTTTGTCATGTGAATAATCATGATTAATATTTTGGCATCATGTGAGTAAAGATAGTCAAGATTAGGAGTAACATAAAGATATTCTTTGAATAATTGACAGAATGGTTTTTGTTAACAAGAATTATTAGGAGACAAAATTGATAAACCTGTGACAATTACTTTGCTTTCTTCCTATCACATCATGCTCTAAACTTAATTTTAAATGTGAATTTGAGTTATGTGAATACAACGGTTTTGAACTTATAATTTTAAAAGCTCTGGTAGCTTAGCTTAGTACTGGAACTCTCAAAACTCCAACTTCATTCAATGTTTATCTTCTACTATATGAAAACAGTGGAAGTACTCTAATAGTTAATAGCTTCTACTGTTTATCAGGTAACAAAAACATTCACACTTTTTACAATTACACTACTAATACATACACATCTGAAACAAATTGAAATTCTTAGGAAAAATATACAAGAGAACAAAAATCATATCTAAGATTTTATCAACCAAGCTAACTGTGCTGTCTTTGATATTTTAATGTTTTTAAAGAATATATTGTTTGAATTATATGGGAAAAAATTTTATTTCACTTTATGGAATTAACATTTCTATTAAGTAGTCTTTCAAATAATGTTAATAGCTTAATTATTCAGATATCTTTGTTTAATAAATGGGTCAATATCCTGTAGATACTATGTTCAATTTATCTCCAATTTACCCATATGTCATTTCTACTGCCATATCTCTAAATGAGGCCTCCGTCTCCTCTTGTCCAGAGTAGTCCTAGAGTTTCTTAACCAGCTCTTTTGAATTCATTTTACTTTCTTCCAAAAACACTTCAAATCATTTTTCAATTTGCTCACTATTGTTCAGCTACAATCGCCTTCTTTTAATTTCATGAAAACATCAAAATCTTCTCTTCAAGGCTTTGCAAATGTGCTGCATCTTCTTCCTGGAATATTCTTTTGATTCTTAGTGTGACTGTCTATGTTAAAGTTTCAGCTTAAATGTCATACCCACAATATTAATATTGAGTTTATACAAGATGGATTCATCCCCTACAAAAATAAATACCCACTTTTCATATAACTGTCCATAATACGCTATTACTAATATTTTTGGTTTTTCTGTCTCTACCATTAGATAATAAATAGGTCAAGAACATTATTTTTTCTGTTCGTCTATGAATGTGTGCATGAAAAACAGCACCTGGTAGTATTCAAGAATTAATTAATTAATCATATTTTGATGTCACACTTAAGAAGTAATGAAGCTAGTTATCACAGAGAAATTATTGGAAACTACAGCCCACAGTGGGATTACCACTCTTAAAGTTTATAATACTTTTAAAAATTCTCTGGTTCTAAATCATATGTGCTTTCAAATTCAGTACATGCTGCTTTTACATTTAATTTTCAATTTTGTATGATTACCTTATTCATTGAGATCTAAAGTATAAGAATCATGTATATTATGTAGCTGTATTCTCTGTATTCTCATTTAAATGTCATAAAAACTTCAGTGGAAATTCTTTGATTGGTCAAGTATATTTTAATTTATGAATAGAAGGGAAAATTTTCTAGCACAGGCTCAAGCCAAATTATTTAAATCCTTTGTGTACATAATGCCAGTTAAAAGTAAGAATCTCTTTATAAATCACAGATCTAAACGTGTATTTTTCATTTAAATAAACACAAATTGGAAGACCCTGAATTATCAATTTGCACAGAATCCTTAACTACTAGCTGTGTTTTAGTTTTAATTGGCTATGCTTAAGAAAGTAAGATTTTATGATATTTTTCCTTTATAGTGGCTATATATGAATTAATTTAGACTTTCCTATCTTCACTGTGTTATTTAGATTTAATTTATAAAATTCATTGTTTGATGAATAGTACAAAACAATATTTTCTTAGAAGTAAAGGGAGGTAAAGTATTTCAGTATCAATGGGAAGATTTATTAATCATAAATATCTACCCCCTTGTTAGTTAAGTAATTATGACTTTAATCAACTATCTAAGCATAGCTGAACTTTTCCTTCTCAGAAAAATAGATATGTATAGGTTTTTCCAAGCTCTAGGCAAAAGACAGTATCCTTATTAAGCAAAATATGAACAGTTCTACTAGATAATTGTGGATCAATGAAAGAAAGATTTTTGTTGCAAGTTATCCCAATCCTTAAATATTCTGTTCGTCAAATTTTGCTAAACTGATAGATCAAATGTTCATGTTATGCTATTTAATCATATTCAGATTATCCATGTTAGTGTAAAATACTTGATCAAATTCATGCAAATATTAATTAATATTAATGTGATTGTCTTAATGTACTATATTAATCATAATAATATAAAGTAAATTAGTAAGTTAGTGACAATTGTATGGTGATATGCACATATGGATGCATACATAATACCCATTCTGAGTTATTTATAAGGCCAAGTGCATTTGTGTGAGCAATCATTATCCAAAAATCATCTTGTCACAGTTCAATGAAAACCTTATTTAACAGACAAGGATTTTCCAAAGAAGACCTTGAATTACACAATGTAAATGACTTTTTCTGTCTACAAGAGTAGCATTAATAATTGTTTGCTCTAGTTTTATTTAGAGAGTATATTAAACGTTTAATTAGAATTAACGAGCTCACAATGCACTTCAGTAACTTAGCAACTCAGTACATTTGTTTTGTCATGTATTATTAACATACCATCTGGGAAGTCAGGGTGGCTGAGTTGCAGGTCTTTGCAAGTTCGGGCGGGATTGGTCTGAGTACCCATTGGAAACTTCATATGCTCAATGTCTTGCTTTAGGGAATTGAGGGAACCAAATATTTCCTCCATTCCATCGGAGTAATCAAGAATATTATCTCCTATATCTGCTTGCATGCTTTCAGTATGTCTTCTCATTTTTTTGGGTGACAAGATTGGTAAAGGCTGAATGACTTCACCAGGTGGACCCTGTAAAGAAGACAAAGTGGGTATAAAATATGTGAGTGTTACATAAAGTAAAAAATATTCACCAAGCTTATAAGAAATTATAGTTGGTTTAGCTTTTCTATAGTTGCAAAATGATATATGAAAAAAATCATATGAATAAATACACATATGTATGTATATATGTAAATTTTGTAATTTCTTTTAAAAATTATCTGGTGGAAATATGGAGGTAGGTGCACAAGTCAGATTTCTGGCACTTTATCTGCACATTGTAGCATAGTTTTCTGTTAACATGTTATATATGTTACTCTCTGATTTTCTGAGTACTCCTCATTGACACACTATTTCTGGAACTATATTTTAAAGTCTCAGCTGGA